TATATTCTCATATTTTTGTTTAAAAAAATGTAATATATTAAAAGATGTATATCTTATAACATTGTATACCACTCAGCACTTGTGATGTTCTACCGAAATACAAAGGCATTGGTATGTGTTAATAAAGAACTAGGTTTTCTTTTACTTTTCATAAGGCAAGAAGACGTTGGTATCCAGAACAGAAGATTACAGCTATAGATTACACTGATGATATAGGCCCTCACATTTAACACTATAGCTAATGTAGCTAATGCAACATTATTGCTCCAACCTTGTTTTTGATGCTACACAGATTTGGTTACAGTATATGTACTGTAAAGCCAAAAAACCGAGTTCATATTTAACAACATAAATGGTACCTCACTTTCTGACAAAAGCATTAAAATGGTGAATGATTTTGTAAACCGTGATAGCAACAACATCTATTAAGATGTTGAAATTCGCCTTGGAAAAGCAAGGAATCTTAACCCAAAACTAAAAAGAAGCTTATTTAGGATAGGGGTGCCTCGGCAAAATTTTGGTATACCAATTGCAGGTTCACTAACTTACTTGTCAAGTTGACTGATATTGGAGTCGCTTCAGTCAACACATTGGTTAGCGCGGTCAAATAGGAGTTAAAATGGAATTCTATAAATAAACGTTTACATAATTATCAGGCGGAACGTTTTTCAACGTGGGGTGGGGGGCCCACTTTTAAGATGAATGGGAATATGAATCATGCAGATCTGGAATCAAACCTAGGGGGTGGGGGTCAACATTTTTCCCAAAAACGAAAGGGGTTCCGGGGGTCCTCCCCCGGGAAAATTTTGATTTCAAGATGACGGGAAATTACCTTTCTCGACTTTTGAGCTTGAGTCTATTATGACTTTGTTCTTCAAAATTCAAAGTTTTCCCCTCTTGAAAACGGTTAGGTAAACTTTCTCATTGTTATTACAGTAAATTGGCCAGTTATGTGTGTATACATACATAAAAAAAAATTAGTAGTTGTGATACGTATTCTTATTTCAATGAATCGATAAGCTTAAAAGAAAAGAGGTGGGGATCCGGGGGCTCACCCCCGGGACAATTTTGATTCCTAGATGGCGGGAAATGAGCTTTTCCGACTTATTATGTGTCTTAATTACTTTTAAGTTCTTCAAAATTCAAGGTTTTCCCCTCTTGAAAACGGTCAAAATGTCTTGTTTGACATTAAAACGATCACAGTGGCATATGAGGTACTCCTTATTTAAATATGAAATATGTAATAGCATATTAACTATGCTCATTAGATATTGACATCCATTTATAGTTTATTTTAGACATACAAGAAAAAACAATTCTGATAATAACAGACGGTACCGTAATAATATACCGTAATAATAGAATAACATAAAAATAACAGACACGATAGCGTTTATTTCAATACTTGGAGTATGTATTACTTTCATAACAGAGAAGAGTAATCGTTTCGTTTCGTTTTACTTGACCAATGAACCGAGTGCATGTGCTGCTTCGTATACATACAATTAATTCTTGTAAATGTTGACCATCTTGTAGCTAACACTTTTATTTTAGCGACGTTGTTTTGTTGTACAGTAATTGTGAGGGCGCTAATAATTTAGAAGGGGAATTCCCTTCGAGAAGCCAGTTGCAAGTTGGAACTTGGAACCAACGACGCACCTTTCTGCTGGGGTTCAGTTTCCTGATTGATTTTTGTAGTTTAAATACCCCCATGGTTTAACTAACTATGGCCCAGGCTCAAGTAACTCTACAGACATTACCGTGGTAGTATAGTCATTTTAGTTTACATAACATTTATGCAATATAGCAAATAAATTATATAGTATCTTTTGATTTTGGATGTAGTGTGCATAAGTGCATTAGGGCCTAGTCAAATATTCTCTTTGATATAGGCCTAGTGCATAGGTAGGGCCTAGACCTACCATATCTAGGCTAGGCCCTAGCCTACCTAGGCCTAGCCAAGAGAGAGAAGATAGATTTTAGGCAGGCTGGTCGAGCCCTCCTTCCAAGCTAGGTAGGCCTAGTCCGATGATCACAGATAAATGAACTCCACTGGGTTTGATATAAACTTGTAAATAGGCCTAGCCTATACCAAACTACCAAAAAACTAAAAGTAAGCAAAGCTGTCTACATAATTTTAGTCCAATCACAAAATTGAGTAATGTTAATTTATTTATTAGGTCTCACCCTACCCCTGGTAGGAGGTAGTGTGGGTTCCTCTGTCAGTATATATTGAGGTCAGATCTCACCATTTCCATTCTAATGATTGACCTTTTTAAACAGCACCAGTGCATTAAAATTAAACAAATTTTGGGATGTCGTTTAGCACTCACACTTGCAGAATAAATACAATGTTTTTATTTTGTTAGATGTGAACATTCCACAGTACTGGCCAGGTTTTATTTATTATATTTATATATTTGGCTTATCTTTCAATTTAGAAATTAAAACAAGAAAATATTTCTCTTGTATATAGCATTGTTAATGTGGTTTGTAAAAAGTGGAAAATCATATTTTTTAGGGGTAACCACTTCCACCCCAAATTCATCAAATACAGTACCAATGCTTCAGCTCCAAATGCATGCCCCTGACATTTACTGGATCTCTTTGACCTCACTACAGCTTTGGATATCTTTTTTTTTTTCTCTTTCTCAATCAGTACAGTACAGTACAATATTTCCTTCTATATCGATTTTTTTTTTTCATTACCTTCATGGCATTACTGTTTTTTTTTTTATATATACAACCAGTAACGTGTATAATCGAATAAAGGTAATTTGGAACTAAATATAATTTAAATTGTTTAATAGAATAATTTTATTTTTTTTATATCACATTATACGGTATATCATTATAATATAACATACTTTATTTAAATAAATAAATCCTTCAGCACATCGGAAACGCTTCCATTACGGTTTGGTTCCGATGTGAATGCCGCTAAATAGGCCTATTTTACAAATAAGTAGGCTTTTTTTTTTTACAAACGTTATTCCATTGTTTCTTTTCATATTTTTTTTTGATATTAAAATATAAAACTCTTAATTAATTTAATATACTTACAAATATTTTTCAATTTAATCCCAATTATTCAAAATTAGTACAATGATAATAATACTATAGATAACAAAATAAAACTCATTCAAGCATAACGTTCCATTCATAATTATTTTCTTTTACAAAATTCTTAAATATAATCCATGCATTTTTACAAACAGGCTTACCTAGCTCTGTTAGAATTTTAATTTTG